TTGCCGCGGTTACCATGGCAACGCTCCAAATCTCGTGAGAGTGAACTCTAGCCCGGGAGCGCGGGCTAGAGTTCACTCTCACCACTGGGACCACCAATGAATCCCCTACCGGACCACCAGGGAAATGTCCCCCCTCCTCCTAAATAAAGGTAAAAATATTATTATTAAATATTATTATTAAAAAGCCTCCTGCCCACCCCCATTACACACAGTGCCCCCCATTACACACACTGCCCCCATTACACACACTGCCCCCCCATACACACACTGCCCCCCATTACACACACTGCCCCCCATACACACACTGCCCCCATTACACACACTGCCCCCATACACACACTGCCCCCATACACACACTGCCCCCATACACACACACTGCCCCCCCATACACACACTGCCCCCATTACACACATTGCCCCATACACACACACTGCCCCACAAACACTGTCCCCACACACTGTCCCCATACACACACACACTGCCCCATACACACACTGCCCCACAATACACACACTGCCCCCCATACACACCCCACAAACACTGTCCCCATACACACACTGCCCCACAAACACTGTCCCCACACACTGCCCCCATACACACACACTGCCCCCATACACACACTGCCCCCCATACACACACTGCCCCACAAACACACACTGCCCCACAAACACTGTCCCCATACACACACTGTCCCCCATACACACACTGCCCCAAAAACACATACAATGCCCCCATACATACACTGCCCCCTAACACACACACTACAACCCTGACATACACTGCACCACTCACACACTTCACCCTTAACACACACCACTGCTCTTATACCCTATATCCCAGCAGACCCCTGGTAAGTTGTCAAACTGTTCTTAAACGGTATGACTACTTACTCTGGGGTGGAATCCTGGCACTACTGACACCATAACCACTACACTGAGCTGTAGTGGTTATTGTGCCTGGATTATTTATTTAAATAATCTACAAGTGCCCCTCCCGAGATCAGGCTCTGGATCCGCCACTGGTACAAATGTGGTAGGCCAAGCCCTGATCAGGGTGGATCAGTTCAGGCAGAAAAGGTTTGAGCCTATTGGCCATAAGTTTGGCAAATAACTTCAGATCCAAGTTTATATGAGAGATTGTCCTATAGCTGCCACAGGCAGTAATCGATGCTCATAGCATCAGTGGTGGGAGCGGGGAATCAGGGGTCAATCCATTGATTCATTTTAGTAAATGTGGTTCCAGATAATATTTGAATGTTTGATAATAGCATGCTGTCAGGCCATCTGGGTCAGGACTTTTGCCTTTTGTTTTAATTGGTGAGGAAAGTTCTGCAGGGCAGAATAGCTCTTCTAGTTGATCTGCCACAGTGCTTGATACAGTGAGTGGGAGGTTTGAGGCAATATATACACCTCAGGCATGAGGTTGTGCTGTCGGGAGGGGTCAGGTTGTACAAGTTGTGATAAAAGTTGTGATAAAAGTCACCAAAGAATGATACTATGGCATCAGTCATGTCCCTATTTTTTATTTTAGCTATAAATGTTTTCTGGAGTCTCATTTTCAATGCCCTAGCCAGTAGTTTCCTACTTTTATTGGCATGCGCATAAAATGAGCACCTCCTCATTTGGACCGTCCTATGTGCCTTCAGGGCTGGTAAGGAGCGGAATTCTACTCGGTGTGCCATTAGGTGTTGGAAATTCTCCTGCGTAGGGGCTAGTTTATGAATGGCCTCTCTCTCCTGTATGGCAGTCGTAAGGGATTTTATTTTTTCTGTGCGTTCCTTTTTAATTCTAGATTCCCACTTGATCAAAACCCCCCTGATGACTCCCTTGTGGGCTTCCCATACCCAAGGGTCAGTCATGTCTGGTGTGGTGTTTTCTGTAAAGTAGTTGGTTAGTGTTGTGCGCAGTGGTGTATCCTGGTTTTGTGCTGCCCTAGGCAGGACAAAACTCAGACGCCCCCCAAATCCCCCACGCGCGCAATCCCCACCCATCCCTTCCCCCCGCCCCGCCTTCCTAATACACACACACACTCACTGACAGATACGCATACACTAGCTAACAGAAACACAAACTCACTGACACACACAGACACTCACTCACTAGCAGACACACACTAGCAGACTCACACACACTCACTGACACACACACTCACAGGCAAACATACACACACAGTCAGACAGACACAAACAAACAAACACACTCACTCACTACAATACATACAAAATAATAGGTGGAGCTGTGAAATCTCTTGAACAATCTTTAAAACAGAATAAATGCAGATAGCGTAGTATGTCTATACAGTATAATACATAATAGAGGTAAGATGGTTGAACTCACAAGACTAGAGTCATACCGTCATATGACTCTAAAAGACGCAACCCGGAAGTGAACACCGGGGTTGGAACGCACGTTGCGTTCCAACAGACGGAACCCGGAAGTGACATATAAAGATGGAGAAACCGGCCAGCGGGACTTTTAAAAAGGAAAGAACATTAAAGGAGACATCAGAGCCAACTGAGGCAACTGAGGAAGCCTGTTAATCAGGCGAAACGCGTTTTGGACACTCATTTTTTAATCCACATTGGACTTCACCTATATCCAATATTTATTGGTATAGTGTATTGTTATTTTTTGTTATTTTTATTACCATTTTCTGTTATAATAAACGAATACCAGTATTCAAAGATATCCTGTATATTGGGCACTCTTTTGGAGACACTCTAAGGATTACAAGGGGGAACATCGAGAAACCAACGAAAGAAGGGTTTGGACAACCCCTTAATGGTCCAAGGGAGCATACCTTTAGAGTCATATGACGGTATGACTCTAGTCTTGTGAGTTCAACCATCTTACCTCTACTATGTATTATTCTGTATAGACATACTACGCTATCTGCATTTATTCTGTTTTACAGATTGTTCAAGAGATTTCACAGCTCCACCTATTATTTTGTATGTATTGTATTGTATTTATAGTGGTGTAAGGGATACCACTTTATAGGTGTTTTAGAGCTATCTATTTGTCTTTCACACCGTGTACACTATTGTTTTGTATTACACTCACTCACTAGCAAACACACTCACTCACTAGCAGACACACACACTCACTAGCAGACACACACTAGCAGACACACACACTCACAGGCAAACACACTCACACTAACAGTCATACACACAAACACTCACTAACAGACACACTCACACACACACACTAACAGACACACACACACTAACAGACACACTCACACACACTAACAGACACACACACACACTAACAGACACACACACTAACAGACACACTAACCACTAACACACACAATAATAGACACACTAACAGACACACTCACACACACACTCACATTAACACATTTATTTTTTTAACCCCCGCCTCCTTACCTTTGGGAATGCTGGGGGGGGGGGAGTTCCCTTTCTCTCTGGGGGTCCAGTGGCTGCTGGGCGCCGGGCGGGCGGCTGGCGAGGGATCACTTCCTCTGAGCAGTCTGCTCAGCTCCCTTGCGTGCCTCAGAGTGAGGCTGGGAGCCGGAATATGACATCATATTCCGGCTCCCAGCCTCACTCTGCAGCGCGCGAGGGATCTGAGCAGACAGCTCAGAGGAAGGGCTCCCTCGCCAGCCGCCCGCCCGCCCGCCCAGCGCTGCCTGCCTGCTCGCTCGCTCGGCATGTCAGTTAGCCGCCAGGCTAACAATGCATTTGCCCTGGGCATTTGGGGGGCGGCTTTTTTTGCCGCCCCCTGGAAAATGCCGCCCAAGGCAAATGCCTTGTTTGCCTCACGGCTAATACGTCCCTGGTTGTGCGAAGCTCTGCCATTACTCATGAGTCATCTAGAAGGGTCTCATTTAAGCGCCAGTTTGTATTACGTCTAGCGTCACAGTGTAGGGCTATGGTTAAAAAGATAAAGGCATGATCAGACCACGTAATTTTACCAATAGATGCTCATTTGAGCAGGTAAGGTGTCTGTGGCCCAGGAAAAACATGTCTATTCTCGAAGAGCTACCTGCCACTAGGGAATAGAACGTGAAATCCTTTTCTTGTGAGTGTATTAATTGCCAGGGGTCCATCAGTTGATGTGAGTGCAGTGTGTTAAAAAATAGTGTCCGCTGGTGATGCTTTGCATCTTTAACTTTAGTGGAGCTATCTAGTGAGTGTTTTAACACCATGTTCCAGTCTCTCTCTACAGTTAGAGTCCCCTCTGCGAACCCCTCCAGTTTCCTCAGGCATGAGTGGCATGAGTGGGCAAAGGATACCTGGGAGTTGGGAGCATATACATTTGCCAGTATAATAAGCTGATCGTTGAGTTGCCCCTTAACAAATAAAATAATCCCTCTTGGGTCAGTTTTGCTATTGAGCTCTGTGAAAGCAATATGGAATGACATCAAAATTGCCACTCCCCTCGCTTTTCCCTTTCGATAGTTGCTATAGTATGTCTGGTGTATTCTTTTAGATCTGAGTTTTGGTTGGAAGTCTCCCTTGTAGTGTGTTGGATAAACATGATATCAGCCCCTTGTCTAGTTCCTGTGCTAACATAGTACGTTTCTCTTGGGAATTGAGGCCTCTTACATTTAGAGACAATAGGTTAATATGGGCCATACGGTAAATGTGAAAAGTATCATATTTGGCCCGAAGCCATAGGGGAAACACCATAGTAGGTGATAATATGCAGGATGAAAAAATAAGAGTGGAAAGAAAAAATAAAAACAAAAGTAAAACTTGAACTATATACAAAAGTACGAGTTAGTTTGCTCATATGAAGAGTGAGTATGGTGCCACACCTGTGGGAAACGCTGTCGTGCCCACAAGTAGTTGCGGGCACCTCTCTGGGGTGTGGGAGACAGGTCTTGGTAAATGTCGACCGGTTGACCCTCATATTTCACCTCACCCGCAGGTTGTTTTGCCTCCTACGATTGTCCACATCCTCCAGCTTTCTTTGCAGGAATAGGATAGCCTCAGAGTGCAATCGCTGGGTTGTGTGACACTCTGTCCATTACTGCTCAGCAGCCTCTCCATCGTCCTCCAGGGCCTGTACCCTAGCGCCTAATTGCTGGACTTCAGAGCTGACCACCTGTAATTTTTCGCTAAAGCTCTCTTCCAGTCTCTTGAACATGGCTACAAAGTCTGTTTTAGATGGGAGCTGTGTTAATAGGGATCTGAGATCTGTGTCCTCCGTGGAGCACTCTGATGCTGATGGACTTGAAGGCGGGCTGCCTCGTGCTCTTGCCTGAGGCGCCATTTTGCTCCGCCGCTCTGGCTCCTTTTGTTCTGAGAAAAACCTCTGCAAAGAGAATGTTGATGGTACAGGATTGGTGGCATGGGTGTTCCCCGCTGTATTGCGCTCCTTTTTTGATGCCATTGTCTCAGGTTTCTGCCTGGTTTTGTGGATCACATCCAGTTACTTGCGAAGCTTGGAGTCTAGGCCATGCCCCCCATACTGGAAATGTTAATTAGAGAGTTCCCAATCCAGAAAGGTTAAGGACACTTGTGATATTTAAGAACTTTTTTCAGGGGGATTTCCTTCTAGCCTGAGCATTTTACAACTATTTCAAATGTTTTCAGATGCTTTTAAAATGTTAATTTGATTTAATTTGTAAGTTTTTTTGTTTTAAACTGTTAATTTACATTTTTCTATTGAGCAAAAAGTAGTCCTTAAATGATATAAAGGGAAGCAAAATAAAAGGTTGTTTAATTGCTTAGTGGTGTTAATACTGCATAATCTATCAGTCATTTATCTACCTTAATTCCAGCTGTGCAACTGTATGGCATCAGCATGAGCAACTATACAGTAAGCCATGTACAATGACAGATAATCACAGGTGGAATCCCTTTATTTTTCAGTATATATGCGAAAAGGTCCAGTAGAACTTCTTTAGAATATGATACATCATCATGTAAATTGTTATTGATACATATTTCAGAAAGTAATAGTTCAGCCAGGCACTATGTTTGTAAGCAATCTGACAATGATAAAGTTAAAAAAATCTTTATAATAATGAAACTGCAATTGCTTTGGAAACAAACGTGTGATCGTTATAAAGATATCTGTCTTAACTTTCATTACTGGATAGCTCATCAAGCTAAATTGAGGGGTAACTCTTGTCAACATTGCATTGCTTACAATAAGCATCATAATAATACTATTAAAAAAAACTTGCTTGGGTCAGATGAAACAAGGGAGCTTTTTAAAAATTCTTTACTCACATGCTAAAATAGAGAATATTATATTGCTCACATGCTGTATTTTGGAAACACAAAGTCCTTGAAGTCTTGGTCACAGTGTCCTCAAAACATACTAAGAAATTCCCTTTGACTCACTGCTGGAAGGACTTAATCTAGAATTTACATTCATTCCAAGATGTAGACCTATCTACGGTGCTCTTATATTGATACCTCAACACTAATACTGACGCTACGATACTCATACTACGATACTGATACAATGAGCTACGATACTAATACTGCTAAACCAATGCTATAAAGCTGATACTACAATATTAATACTAATAAACTGAGGCTACTTACTCTATAGTTTGTCTCACTGGATGAGGTTCCTTACTACTTGGTAATGGTCATAGTACAGTATAAATTATAACCCATAATATAAAAAACATCAGAGTAAACACAGCTTGTCAGCTTATACATTTATTAAGAATGCTAAACACAACCTTTTAATATTTTATAATAATGCTTTTTATACTATTACTCCCACTACCAGAGGGCAAAAAGTTCAGATTTTAATTAAATTCATTCTCATTCCGAGTCTATTTTGCTAAATCCTAACTTTGTTAAATTTTGTAAACAATGTGTGGATTTTGCAGTCTAAATGGCCCTGTGTTGCACCAAATTTATTTGACCAATTCAGTATAGGGCAATTTGACCTATAGCATACCTCCCAAAATCAGTAAGTCCCAGAATTGGGCACTGGTGGGAGAGGATTAAAGGGGGTAGGTCAGTGGCATGATTGCATCACTTGCTCTGTCCAGAAGGGGAAGAATTGCCCAAAATAGGATGTGTCCACCCAGCAGGACACGCCAGGCTGCCTGCCAATCATTTTATCCAGCCCACTAAGGGTTCACACTGCTGGGAGCACCGTTTTAATGCCTTAGGGTGCACAGGCACAGGGGAGCACAGGAGTAGGACCAATAAGAGGAGAGCGCACTGCACAGCGCACTGGTCATTACTTGTAGCATAGAGGAGCTTCTTTCCCTTGTCCCAGTTGTACATTAAGCACTCACTGAGAGTGCCAAACTGCATCCTGTCAGACCAAGGAAAGGCAAACAAGCTCATCTATCGCAGTCCACACTTAACCATGCTACATAGGAGTATGGAGGTGAGCTGGCACATGGGGGGGAGCAATTGAGGCACATGGGGGGCTTGGGGGATTGAGACACAAGGGGAACTGGAAGATTGAGAAACATGGGGGGGGCTGTGGGAATGAGACATGCTGGAGGGAATGGGGGGATGTAATGAGCACATGGAGGGACTTGAAGGGAATGAGACATGTGGAGGGGCTGGGGAGAAATTGAGATACTTGAGAGAAGAAATTGAAATACGGCTTGAATGATTGAGTCACGTGTGGAGATGAGATACATGGAGGGTTGGGGACACCCAAAGTGACATGGATGGGCTGGGAGAGAAAGAGACAAGGTGCTGGGGGGGAGAATCACACAAAGTGGGCTGTGTAGAGTAAGAGACAGGCTAGGGGGGCAAAGAGGGGCTGGGGAAAGGGCAAAAGAGGCAGACAGGAGGAGGGGCAAAAGAGACAGCAAGGGACTTGGGGTAATAGGCACCTAGAGGGGCTGGGGGAACACAAAGAGACACAGAAGGGCTGGGAAACTAGCAAAAGGGAAAGACCTGAACTTAGGGGAGAAACACCCAAAGGGACTGGAGGACAGAGAGGGGCTGGCAAAGAGGCAAAAGAGACAAATAGAGGCTAGTGAAGCGGCAAAAAAAAGGGAGGTGTAAGACAAAATGGGAGGATAAGAAATGCAAAAGGGGTAAAAAATTTGAGAGGGGAGAAGGTGAAGATTATTTTTTTTGGAGGGAACGGGTGAAGATTATTTTTTTGGAGGGAACGGGGGAAAAAATGCCTCTTCACCTGTGTAGCCACAAATCCTTGAACTGGCCCTGGGTGACAGCATGGGGTGGGGTGACAGCATGTGGGTTGGGTGACAGCGTGTGTGTGGGATGGTGACAGTGTGTGTGTGGGAGGGTGACAGTGTGTGTGTGTGTGGGAGGGTGACAGTGTGAGTGTCAGTGTGTGGGAGGGTAAAAGTATGGAGAAACAGTGTGTGGAAGGGTAACAGTGTGCAGGGGCAGTGTGTGGGATGGTAATAGTGTTATTGTTATTACAAAACAAAATTAAAGTGAACTCTTGGCATCATATTTAGCACAGTTTAACATTGTTGTGTTGTGAGGAGTTGTTGGATGCTGTCTCGTACTCATCGCCTATTTCCATCCAATAATGTACAATTTTGTATTCATAAGTGGAACCTATGGCAGATTAGGGGCAGGGCTTTGGGTGTCATGAAGAATTTTGTCAAACAGCTCAAAAATGGTTTATCAGAAAATGTGGAAATGACACCCTAAACCTCCTTCCACTCTAACAGCTATAAGAAGCTGAGTGGTTGTAGTGCTCAGAGTGTCCTTTTAAGCCAGCTGAAACATGTGTTCAGTGGGCAAGAAATCATCTTTTGTAGTGCAACCTTTAGGTTTGAGATTTTAGTAAACGCATACACAATGCAGGTCTGACAGTTTCCACTAGATACTTTTGAGAGAAAATTCACCCCTCAGTGAGTGTGCCATGGACCCTCCAGGCTTGCAACAATGAGTAACTTTCAGGCCTGTCAAGTAGCATAGGACTTGACATTTTGAGTCTAGCTTAATGCACACTGGTGGAACTACCACGGCCCTGTCGACCCCTGTGACCTGGGTGCCTGCCAGCATTTTGATGCAGCCTGACCACATGGAAAAACTGCCGGGGTCGCATAGAAGGAGCCCATCAGGTGGCCCATGCTCTTGGGGCCACCCGATGGCAATGGATTACCAGTGATGATGTCAGAGCTGGGAGGAAGCCGTCACTTTCTCCCAGCCAACAGAGTGTGTGTGTCTACATGTCTGTTTGTATGTATCTGTCTGTGTATGTATGTGTCTGTATGTATGTGTCTCTTTGTGTGTGTCTGTATGTATGGTCCCTGTGTGTTTGTATGTATGTGTCTGTATGTATGTGTGTGTGTATATGTGTCTGTATGTATGTGTTTTTGTATGTGTGTCTGTGTGTATGTGTGTCTACATGTATGTGTGTGTGTCTGCATGTGTATCTGTTTGTCTGCATGTGTGGGGGGGTGGGGACATGTGGAGAGCAGGGAAATATTGGGTGGGGGTAGACGTATGGGGGGGTCCAAGGGAAATTATTGCATTGGGGGCCTGTGGTTTCTAGTTACTCCTCTGTTAATGCATATACATATTTGCACATAAAACAAACATAAAATAATCAAATACATAAAAAGTGAAGAGATAAACATTATCAGTCCATTGAACAAGAAGCTAAATACACAAATGATGCAGAACATTCTAGATACTAGTTGCAAGTCTACCTTGAGGCATTCAAATGACTTTCGGTGACACAATGAGGTTTCGTTTACCAAAGAATTCTACAATAGCTAGAATATGTTCTATCATTTTTTATGCAACGACTAAATACATTCTTGTTGGTTACATAGTTCCTGCTTCCACCATGCCAAGCCTTTTCGCTGACTGTATAAAATGTTATTATTATTTTTTTTTACTACATCAGTATGAATTTAAAGTACGAGCATTGAAACATGACCCAAATATGTCATCATATTACACCACTCTGTAACCTGGTGAAAATCTCATAGAAAGGTATATAATGGCATAAACATGTTAGCAGAATTTCTGAAGTGGTTCATTTGTGATGTGATCTGCGTACAGGACCCGAGGCTGGAATGGAGAGATGTATCTTTTGGTTTTTCACTGTCTAGCCTGTCATCTTTGTGTAATTCTCTGAGCCAGCAGTTACACCTCGAGATTAAATGTAAGAAATGTATGGATAATTCTATTTTCCTATGGTTGCATTTCTGAAAGCTAGCTACACATATATAATTTGGCAATTTTTGACTAAATGAAACAGGACTTTTAAAAAATAATGTCTTGTTTTATTCTTGTCAGATGATGAAGCAAGCATCTACAATTTGAAAATAATTATACAACAAAAATATATAAAATCAGGGGGTCTAGAGCCATGAATCCAAAACAACTATCTCTGTATATGAGTGGGGTCTCAATTTTTGATTTGCAAAATTTAGCCTAGAAAAAAATGGCAGTTTGGCAAAC